AATTATGAATAAAATAAAATTATAAAAAATGAGATTCACAAAGTTTGATTTTTTTAAATAAATTTTGCTTCCTCTGAACCTTATTATAACTTACAATTAGAAGAAAAAAAATAGTAATTTTTTATAAGTTATTTTATAATTTTTATAAAGTATTAATTTTATATTTATTTTTTATTCTTACTAAAAATTATGAGTATATATGTTTTTTGACATTGAATATTGAGAAAATGATTTGATAAATAAATATTTTATCTCTTGTCTTTTGAACTTTCTAACTATCATTTATCAATTTTTATTAGTATTGATGCATAAAGTTCGGTATTTATGAAGTAATATTTTTATATCTCTTTTGACAATTTAATGATAACTACTATAAGTAGCATTAGTATACTATAATTTTAAAAAATAAAATAAAAACAACTTAAATAATTACTCATATTAATTTATGTGTTTTTGTTATAAATGTCTTATAATAAATATCAAATAGAAATGTCTTAAGAACTATTCTTTCACGAAAAGGTTTATACAGATTTTTTTAGCTTTTTATTTAATTTAATTTTTATTTATCATATTTATTTATGAATTAAATTTTAATATTTTAAAATAAATTAATTTCTATATATTAATTACGAATAACTATCTTGTGCAATAATGTTTTTAGAAAATATTATATGATGTAAATATTTTTAGGATTTTTTTAATTTTTTATTTAATCAAATTTTTATTTATTATGTCCATTTATAAATTTTTAAAATAAAATCAATAATTTAAAATAATCTTCTATGTATAATTTATTATAAATTTTAATTACATATAATAAACAATTAACATGTAAAATGCACAAACTAAAATTTAATAATTAATAATTAATAATTAGAAGTATATTAATTAAGAGAGTGTGATATTAATATCTATTTACATAAAGTAGTCACACATTAATTTTTTCCACCAATTTTATTTTCATATTTTTTAATTTTTATTATCTTTATTTAATTTTCATTATATTACTTGTGAGGTCATTCATGATTTCTCTTTACTTTTCTTTCTTTCTTTTATTCGAAAAATATTTTCCTTCTTTTGAAAAAATACTTTTACTTTTATAATTTTAATTGCAAAGAAGGAAAATAATATATAAGAAATAATATGAAAGAAAATAAATAAGAGAGAAATAAAGTAAATAAAAATAAGTGAAAAATAAAGTAAAAATAAGAGTGTTTGATTTAAGATAAACAAAAAATAAAAAGGAAAAAAAATTAATAAAAATATTTTGTTAAAATAAATTAATTAATTGAGGTGTGAGAATTACACAATGAATTTTAAAATCTACCTAATCAATTAAAAAACAACTATAATTTATTTAAGAAATAAAATAATCAAGTGTCTATTTATAAAAATTGATTTTGATGAGTTTTCGTAATCAATCATGCTCTTTCACAATGGATTATCAATATAAAACACCATTTTTTTTTGTGCACAAATTTAGATAATCAATTACCATTTCCTCAATCACTTTTATTATACACCTCTAATTTATTATTCATTTTTATTGTGATTTTAGAGATATATAAAAAGATGTGGGTCTCAATAACACAATTTTGTGTACTCGAGTCTAGATAATTGAGTGTCATTTTCTCATAATTGATTTTTTTATATCTCTCATTCATTATTTATTTTTTTGTGTAGTTTTGAAGAGAGAGAAAAAAAAGATATATATAGAGTATTCTTAATTTTAAACATTAGAAATAAGGTTATAATAATTAATAAGGATGTTTTTAGGTGATATTAGTAATAATTATCCCCATAATGGTGTTTATAAGGATGTGATATCAAAACTAAGATGATACTTAAGCCCATGGTAGGCTAGAGTCTACTAAAGGCCCATACAAACACTATAAGAGAAATAAGGAAAAAGGGGGATAAAAAAAGAAAAAAATAGAAGGGAAAAGAATAAGAAAGAGCGGGATAAGGAGAACAAATCCCCACACATAGAGCTTTAGGTGATATTAATAATAATTATCTCTGTAATAGGTGTTTATAAGGATGAGATAACAAAACTTGTATGAGACTTATGTGACACCCTCTCCCCCAAATAAATGATAAAAATTATGGGAAAATATAATAAAATTAATAATAAAATTTATTTTGTCAATACATAATAAAAGGATTCACAAAGCTTTATCCATCACTTTATTAGTAAAGAAACATAAAAAAATATTGTTTGAATCAAAATAAAACATAACCTCATAATTATTAATATTCCGACAATAAAACACAAATGAAGAAGAATTCAACATTTCACCAATTTCTAAAATTAAAATTGTCTCGATGTCACACTATGAGAACAAAACCCTTCTTTATATTTTTTTCTCATCAAACACATCTTCTCGTACTTGTTATAATCTTGCAAATGACGATCAATCGAAACCCAAGCAACACAAATATAAGGAATGAAATACATCTCATCCATAAACAACATATATAAGATATAAGCATATACTCACACACATAAATAGAAATTGCATCTCACATATCATAGTCAATCTCATATGTGTTATTGATAACAATTAATATATATTCATCCATCATTCACTACCAATTCACCTCAAAATACAAACAGAACAATAAACTAAGACTCGTGTAATGCATGCTCCAAATTTTACATGCATGGTAGCAATCTCCTCATTGTCATCGAGTATATAGAATAGCGTAGGAGTAATGAAACAAGATCACCCCATAGAAAAATAATTATTTGAAATTTTTTTTAAACTTTCATACAAACACATCAATTATTTTAATTCATCATTGTCGCAACCCGAAAATTTCCGATCTTGCGACTAATTCAAAGAGCCTTTCTTTAGGGTGGAGGGTTGGAACAAAGAAAAATCCATTGGGTGAAATGGTCTACTGTGTGTAAGCCAAAAGAGAGTGGAGGATTAGGAGTGAGAGACTTGGAAATTTTTAACATTTCTCTTCTTGGTAAATGGAAATGGAGAATGGTTAATGAACCTAATGCTTTATGGGTCAAAGTCCTTGAAGCAAGATATGGGGAGGTGAGTTTGGTGAGTGACACAATTGTGAGAGGGGGTTCGAGCTGGTGGAACAACATCATAAAAGCAAGCAAATCGGGTAAAAGAGAAAAGAGAGAATGGTTTCAGGAAGGTATTAGGAGAATAATAGGTGACGGAAAGGAAACTTATTTTTGGAAACAACCATGGTGTGAGAGGACTGCTTTAAAAGATACATACCAAAGATTGTTCTCAGTTTCAGAACAAAAAAATGAGTTGATAGCTGATATGGGAAATTGGGTGGGTGGGTACTGGACCTGGAACTTTAGGTGGAGAAGGAATCTATTTGAGTGGGAAGAAGACTCTTTGCGAATCATGTTGTCCTCCATCAATAACATTATTATGCAGCAACAACAACAAGATAAATGGAGATGGATTCTACACCCTTCAAGCAGCTACACAGTGAGTTCAACTTACCTTCACCTCTCTCAACAGGGGCAGGCTTTGGTGCACATATTGTACTTTGTCTCTTTCAATTTGATTTTTCTAATTCTTAAGATGTGTCTTGCCTTGATTGTTCTTTTATCAGAGTTTACCATCTGGTTTCATATGATGTTTAACCCATCTTTTTCTTCTTCCTGGTTTAGCCTTGTTTTGGCTTTTCATCTGATGCTTCAATGTCTCGACTTGTAGTAGGCCTCATCTAGTGTTTGTTGAATGTTCTTCCGTCTGTGATTGGACATGATCTCGATGCTTGAGTGGCCATCATCTGATTCTCTTTTTTTGATTTGTCCAGGCTTCGTAGATCTTGCATTTAATGCATTTGATCTTGCATTAAATGTTTGCTTGCTAAATCTGTGTTTCACAAAGTATTTTGTACCATTTGTTTATTTCTATGTTTGACATCAATCATGATCTAGACATCTCTGTACTTTCCTGGCATTATAGCTGCAGAGCCGTTGTCTTTTACTGACTGGTAGGTGTACTTGTTATGACATATGCATCTTTGACTTGTGGATAAGTGCTCATCCATTTTTCTTTTCTCTCTTATTTTATTTTGATGAATTCATGTGTTCTTATGAGAGAGTGAATGCTAGGTAGTTCTTCTTGTTGTGACTTTAGGCGCAATCCAGCATTTTTGGTTTTCATCTGTGTATTTGAGTTTCCATCTGGTCAGCTATGCAAGCTCTTGACTTCGTCTAGGATGCTTTGATTTTAGAT